CTCCCTGGGGGTCCGCGGCCGGTCTGAAGCGGGGCGCACGTGAAAGCGGAGAAGTGCCCGCGAGGCCTCGGGTGGCCCAGCCGGGGCTTGGGCAGGGAGGCGAGGACGCGGGCCGTGCGGCGCCGGAGGGCGACGGCCAGGCTGCGCGGGGCTACACCCCGGCCTGCACGCCAGAGCCAGCCCTCCGTAGGGGGACCACGGGGCCGGGCTCCCATCGCCGTGCAGGAGCGCCACGCGAGAGGCCTGAGCTTGGCTGGGGCACGGACTGCAGTTTTGGGGATGGTCCGTACGAGGAGACGGAAGGAGGCACGAGACCTGCCCGGGATGCGAGCCCTGAACCGCACGGTCCTGGCTCTCGGGGTCCGGGGCAGCTAGGAAAAGGGACTCAGGCGCTCCCCTAGCTGAGAACAGGGGAAGGGTGGAGCGGGCGGCTGTCCAGGGTGCTGCCCCGTGCCTGCTCCGACCGCGCAGCGTGGCTCTCCACCAGGTGGGAACTCCTGAGCGCATCAGATGTCCAGCTCAGGTGTGGCAGTGGGAGGGCACCATGATGGCAGAAGAAAGTGGGCAGGGAGCCAGGACAAAAAACAAAACCGTGGCTCAGTCCTGCACGTGTTTGGGGTCTCTGCCAGTCCTGGGGGCTGGAGGCCTGGGGATGGCAGGCATCTGTCTTGCTATCTATCTTTTTTGAACAGGTTATTTTGCTTTAGGACGCACACGCAAGAGAGACAGACAGACAGACAGTGAGAAGAAAAGTGAGAAATCACGGCCACACCACAGCCCCTTCTCTTTCATTCTCATCCTGGATCTTGGGCACACATGTACTCACACCCCGTGTGATTTTCGAGCCACTAGGTCTGGGATTCGAACTATGGTTGGCCATGTGGGAGCCCAGCGATGTAACCACCACGCTATCTATCTAAAAGGCCCCAGCAGGTGACTTTTTAAAAGGCAAGGAGGAATCAGGGAACACGAGGCCACAAGACCTTAAAAGCAATCGTTTGAGTTTCTTCTGAATCCGGTCCTTCGGGATTCGAGTCTTAGGCACTCTCCCGTCACCTAGCTCCTGGCGTGGAGCGGTGGGGATGCCGTCACGTACGAGTCAGCTTTCTCGGCAGCACAGCTCATGTGACCGTCCTTCCCTCCGCAGGCGGGAGGCAGCACCGGGCTCCTGATGGACTTGGCCGCCAACGAGAAGGCGGTGCATGCGGACTTCTTCAACGGTAGGCCGTGGCCCCGCATGTCTGGCGCTCTCCCAGTGTTTCTCGGGTTTGTGCAGCAGAGCTGCTCTGACAGGGGTGCCTGGATTGGAGCACGGAGCCAGCCCCGTGCCAGGCTCGGAACAAGTGGCAGCACTGCTGTGGGGCATGGCAGCCAGCCTGGCGGTCAGGAGGGAGCAGGACGTTGTCCCGTCTTACGTGCCAGTAGCTGGGTCCGAGCAGTGGCAGCAGTCCCAGTCACCCTGGGGTCACAGGTTGTAGCAGGGCCTGCTGTCCCAGAAGTGGGAGCCTGGCTCGTGGCATGCGTGCTCCACCTCTCCCCAGCCCTGTCCCCCACACGATGCCCCCAGCCCACGCTCCTGCCCGCACCTGGCCCTGCGCCCTTGCTGTCTTCACAGCAGCGGCTGCCCTCTGGCTCCAGCGCCCCCATCAGCCCTCGGGTCAGGACGTGTGCCCAGGTCCCGTGTGAGGACCAGGTAGCTCCTGGGAGCGTAGGGCTGTCTCCAGGGTGCTGGGTGTTTCTCGTGCCCTCTCTGGTCTCTCAAGGCTTCCTTCCTTCCTTCCTACCCCTTGCTGGGTTCAGACGTGAGTGGAGACGCTGGAGGGACTCTGGCTCGGTGGAGTGACTGCTGTCACCTCCCTTTTACTCTGTGGGCCCGTGGTGCCTGTGGCCTCAGAGCCTTTGTTACTGCTCTGTAGCAGCGAGGCTGCGCTGGTGCCTAACTCTCAAAGCTGCCCTGAGGTTCGGGTCCACACTGTTCGTCCCAGCTCCTTGCCAGCCAGTCACTGTCCCCGGGGAGAGGCCGTGTTGCCATGTCAGGGCGCACGAGCCGCAGGGAGCTGGCCACTCCCCGGGGCAGCATCCTCGGACAGTGTCAGACCTGGGACATGGCATCTGGGCTGAGCTGGGCCGCATTCCTCCAGATTCTCTGCAAGAGGATGTGTGCAGGCCATGGCTGTGTGGGGTGGCCTGTGCAGAGGTGCCACGCTTCCCACGCCGCCTTCAGGGACACGCCAGCCCACGCCTGCCATGCAGCGCTTCCTTACACGCTGGGTCGAGTGATTCCTGGTTCTGGCGATCAACTCCCACCCTGCTGGCCCTATCCAAGCCCTGCTCATCCTGCCAGCCCCAGGTTTGGAGGCGGTTGGCTTTGTTGTAGCGTTTGGCTTCATGTGACCTCCAAAACGGCCCTTTAATTCTGATAAGAAAGCACGTGGGCGGGACCCAGGCCTGTGCTGGCAACTGAGCGCCCGGCCACGTAGCAGGTCGGGCCGGCTCTGCCTTTGAGCCCCAGGCAGGAGGGGCAGGTGCGGAAGTGTCCA